ATTTCCGTACTGTATAAATACAATAATTGATTTTTGTTGCGTTTTCTACTTTCACAAAATTTTCTCTGTGATTGATGACAAAATTCAGAGAGGTGGGAGGAGCGCAAATATATGTAACAACCCTGAAAATTATTTTTCTTACATGGATCAGGTTACATACACGCTTTTATGCATACTGGACCCCTTTTTTCATGTGTTATTAAACAAAACAAAAACAAAAATACAGATCTATTTAAAAATAAAACAGGCTTATCTCCAAGTAATTTTTCATACAAAAAACAATTAGGGGGTTAATACGCACCTTATAAATGTTATTTTAATTGATTTTTCCATAAGGTTACATGTTAAATTGCAAATTTTTAAAACTAAACATGTAAAAGAGGGTACAGTTGAATAATCTGCAATTTTTTCACGTATTTCTGATGGTATTTTGGGTATACTTTTTATGATTGAATAATATCTGTCAAAAAAACTTATGTGTGATAAACTGTCCCCTGAAGGGACATTGTTTATATTATATTATGCCATAGTATATTGTTCATGATTTTTCAGATATTGAATATTAGAATATTTATTGGAACTACATCCAACTAACCTAGGTATTCTCATTACAACGATAACTATACCATCCTTATACACAGTATTGTTTCATGGAATGCCCAGTTATATTTACAATTATATTATCTGCCATATAATTTTATAGAAGAATAACTTTTTACTTCGGTACCCAAGCACCCACTGTCCACTGGTTTCTTACACTTTCTGGCTGATGGGTCTCTGTTCCTAAACATTCTTATACACAGGAAGTACACGGGGAGTATATATCTAATCGTAACCCACGATAAAGATCCTCGTTCTTATAATTGTTTCTTGTACTTAAACATTTGATTGAGTGTATACTTAATTAGGGAAAGATTAAATGCTGACTTTTAAAATTGTTTGTAATTAAAAAAATAAAATTTGTTTAACTAATGGCCCAGAAGGTTCAGGAAAAACATTTCTATAGAAAACGTTAATTTATTATTTCATTTCTCGCGGAAAAAAAAATTTATCTATAGCATAGACTGGTATAGCATCAATATTGCTTCTACAAGGAATGACCAGTCATGGAACATTTTGTTTATCATCAGACTTAAACACTGTATTTTTACAGTGTTTTTTACAGTGTTTTACAGAACTTTTGTTCGTTCTTGGAATTAAAATCTGAAAAAAAAATTGAATGAAGTAGATTCAATTACATGGGACGAGGCTTCTATGATTCCAAAAAAAGCCTTAAAAATAATTGAAAGATCATTACGTGATTTATGTGATACAAATATGCATTTCGGTAATAAATTAATTCTTTTAGGAGGCGATATCAGACAGATTCTTCTAGTTTTAAAAAATAGTAATAGAAGCATGATTATACAAGATAGTATTAAATCATCATATCTTTGGTCATTGTTTCGTATTCTAAAACTTAATATCATCTATATTCGTTCAATAAAAAAAATATTTTAAGAATTGTTATAAGATATTGGAAAAGGAAGAACTGAATAATTTTAAATTTTAAGTACCAAATGAATGAAAATAACTAATGTTTATTCCAGTATTTTTGGTAAAGATATTACCTTTAATAAATTATATTGTTCAATAAATAAAGATATTTTTCAATAATTAGCGTTATATTAACTTTTTATAACAAATATATTTACATTTTGAATAATAAAATTCTAAATCATGTAAAAGGAGAAATAAAAACCTATTAAAGCATAGATCATGCTACTTACAAGTGTTGATAAATCCGATAATGATATTCATATAAATTTTCTAATTGAATTTCTAAACAATATTCGTGAAAGCTTACCACTACATAAGCCTAATTTAAAAACTGGAGCAATTTTTTTGTTGATACGAAATTATAGTTGATAGCTTATCTGCCGTGCCACGGAAAAAAAGCGTAAGTGCAGCCAGTGTCAAATTGAAAAAATTGACAAAAACTATTTATGTTAAAACCATGATGAAAATCGAATTTCTCAACAGCCAAAAAACTGTTTCAAGGGTAATTAGGGCATGATCTAATCACTGCACGCGAAGAAAAAATGATTTCCTGAAAGAGAAAACAGATACTACACTTACGGCTTTTCACTCACACACTTTCCCATATCATACCTTGTTTACCTTAAAAACAGTTTTTAATAGGTGAAAAACTATGCATGCATTACTAATTTATTTAAGGTAGCTTCCTTGCGAAAACCTACGGAATAAAATATGTTTCATTCAATAGATTTCAATCTACTGAATCGAACGAAGTCTTTGTTTATACTCCAAGTGGAGCAAAATCTCAAGATATTCCAGCTCAAAGTTGTATCTGTGGCACGAGCTTATATGGCAGAACATCAAAATATCAGCTTTACAGGCATTTCCCAACTCACAATAAGAAACCTGAGCAGATAAATTATGATAAAGTTGTAGAAAAATTTCTGTTCTTCTCAATCCTGTCATGTAAAATACTGGTAATGGGGCATTTTCCAAAGATATTTGCTAAAAAAGACGTGAAAATCAGCTTCATGGTTATAAATGACAGTAGCAAAACGGTAGGACATGGTTATAAATGACAGTAGCAAAACAGACGGTAGCAAAATAACACTAATGTACGTATATACGTATATATATACTCAAGTGAAACTCTCCTACTTGACTAGAGCAGTAGACAAGGGAGCTACCTTAATGAATGGAAATTGAGTCGATTTTTTCTCTTGCTGTTTTAATGTTTCATGACATTAGTTCAGTATTATTAAGTATTAATTTCATTTATTTAAAGTGAAAAATACATTGTTGGAAGTTTTTTTAATATGAAACAGTTTCACATCAAAAAAATGCTAACAATAATAAAGGTTGGACTGTTACCTAAAGAGTAAATATTCATTTGAAATACGTTTTAAAAAATTTATTAGAAAATATACAAGTTTTCTTTTATTTTACAACTCTAATGATTATATATTATGACATTACTATCCGTCGGTCGTATTAGCTGCTGTAGAGCCAGCGTATATATATATGTATACACATGAAATTTGCTGCTGCTTCGTAGTTACGCTTTTTTTTTTTCTTGTACGAAGAGATCTGCCTTACGCTGGCTCCAAGGAAAGAAAAGCGTAAGTGCAAGAAGTTTTTTTTAGTGTGACATCAGTAGCCTTTCTCGCTGACTAATACCGAGTAAAAAAAGCGTAAGTGCTGTTACGGCTTTTTTCCCGTTAACGACACGTCGAATTCCAATATTTTTGTTACTTA